TTCAGTAAAGAGTAGAAGACAGACATAGGAAGCCTAGGAGATTATTCAAGAGTTAGCATGCAATGTAGTAGGACACTGTTATAGGAATATGAAGAGTACACAGGAGTTTCTATGAAAACATGCAAAGTGGTTATTGTATAAATGCAAGAACTTTACAATAACTAGTAATTATTCTTTTAATGATCGATTGTTATGTTTAAAGTAGCAAGCTTTATGCACATATTGATCCCTTTAATACTGATCCAACCTATGTTGTTGGTATTATTAAATCTACTTTGCAGAAAAGAAATAAGTCACAGAATTTTAGGTGGATAATATTAACAGCAATAAGAATATTAAATCTATATAAATATATATACGGATTTTCTAAGTGGATTTCTAGACATTTCCTAATTTAACACTCCTTACAAATTCAGGATATGATTTCCACATCATTTTTTACTTATTTCATACATTGTGAGATAAAAGCATAGAAAAGTTTAGAATCCTGTCCAAGATCAAGTTAGTTAAGGACAGATTCAAAGCTCAGTCAGATTATACCTAAATAGTTTACCTCCAAATGCATTCTCATACACTATTTTGTTATCATTACCAATGTTCAACTTGTAATCTCCTTTTAATATGATGAGAAATATTATAATTATTTTATTACAACTTTATAGGCAAGAGAATATGAAGCGATTTATTTTATCAGCAAACACACATACGATGGCATGTTCAAAATCCCATATATCAAACACATCAAGGTATAACATTTATTGAAAGGAACTGATAACTTGATTTGTTTTCCAATCTCAGCTGCGCAAAGTGAACTCTCCCTCCAAAGCATGAGTCCTGAAACCCTTCTGTAAAAATTTGAGAATGAATACCATGTGGTTAAGTATATCGTAGGATCAGAACATCTAGGCTAGATTCCTGATACTTCAACTTGCAAATTCTTTTATGTGGGTACATTGCTGGCACCCTTCCTATTTGTTTCCTTATCTAAAGCAGGAATTATAATAAAGCTACATATGCTTTATGGGAATTACTTATGGGAATGTACGTGAGCATATCCACCACACTGCTCTCGACACACACAAGACTTTCATCATTTTTATGTATGCACTTAGGAGATGGGAAGAATTGGCATTTAGATCAATAATACACAGAGACATTTCACTATGCAAGGAGCTAGTGAGTTCTTACCTTTAATTTTTGTTGAAGATTCCATGGAGATTCATATTATCCATAGAAACTGATCCAAGGAAGGAAACTCTTTTGGTGTTTTCACTATACAGCTGAGAGTTGAAGTCAGTATTCATACTTACATCTTTTCTATGTGTAATTGTATTTAATACGTTTTTCATTCTCATGATGTACGTTGATTGTTAAAGGAGATGCCTCCTTGCAAAAGCATGTTGTCTGGTGCTAGAGAACAATGCTCTATAATTACTCTCAAGAAGTCTTTGATTTTTTATCTGTCAGATGAAGTTGATGCTATTTAACAATATTTGGAAGATGGTGAGGGTGAAATGTACCACTATCATGTTTGAGAAGTCTGCAAACATGATTCTGATCATATATGAGAAGTAACAATCTCTAATAAGCATTAGCATTACAGAAAAGCATAACTTACAATGTTAGGTTCCCTTAAAGATGTTTGGGGTGTTCAGGACAATGTCATCCTCAACTGACATCCTCTTGTAATAAACGACTTTCAGTATGAAAGATATCACATTCAAAAGGAGACTATTCAGATGAGCCGTTATACAATGAACACTTGCTATGTGTTTTTATAAAGTCTCAACCATGTCCTCTATCATAGAATCTTAATGTATCATAGAACACCTGGGGTATGCATTTAGAAGGGATTCCTTTGAAACACAATAGGAAGATGATCTTCTACAGATGACTCTGTACCACAAGCCAAAAGCAGAAAATTTGGAAGAGATAACTCTCACAGGTGTCATGTCGCCCATGATTAATCCTTTTCTGGAGATGTGATCAGCAAAGCTCATGTACTCTTTGGCCCACATGGATATTTAAAGGGATTTTTGTGAAGATTCAAGGACTTTGTCTTATAGTTGCTGCTCTCTCTATGGAATTAATTATCTGCTTTGATGGAAAGGCTTATCTTAGAAGCAAGTATTCAGGAGAGACAGGTTTGAGAAACATCAATTTTTGAGTGAGGGATTGTATTTCCTCCACTTGAAATCTAAACACATGAGAGCCTCCTATCATTACCTGAACTTGAGTTTCCCTAGAGCAAGGATCACCTTCCATTTTAGAAATGGTGACATCTGAGGAGTGGATAATTGAAAATGCACCAAGATTCAGTGTTTTTCATTTTTTAATAATGCATTGTTGATACAAAGCAGGTGTGGTTTGATAGGGGTGACACACACAGACATCCAAAATGAAAGTGGCTAATTTGGGATCTAAACCTATGTCCTGAGAACAGGAGATGGAGAAGGTAACAGTGACTAGTTGTTACTCTTTTTTTTAAATCAAGATGTCCGTCTATGATTTTCTTGTCAAACTTTCCTCATGAGAGTTGATTACCATAATAAAGTCATAATACACCTGTCACCTCACAGAATTCCTTATTCGGGCATAGGAGGTAAGAATGTATAACCTCTTAGGCATTCTTCTGACCGTATGGTTCTTGACTTGGATATTGTCGATCTCATTTGTGTGTTCATTTCTACAACAATCTTATTTCTTTTATACTTGGACATGCATATTTTAAAAAAATTAAATATAACAAATGCATTGAATTTCATTAACTTATTAAAAATTATGGTGCACCTTTCAATATTTAAACAATAACTTCAGGATAACATCAAAGTTTCTACTCCAGTCTGCAATCTGAAAATCCATTTCTATCCATACACATTGCCAACAATTCAGAATACTTTAAGCACATATTTATTAATTTTAAGAATATTTGTTTCCTCCAGCATATTTCAGAGATTCACTGTGATTCTTGAAAGAAGGATTTTAATGTATTTTTATTCTATTGTAACTGACAATCCAGAGAAGGGAGATTGTGTTTCTCAAATTAACAAAGCATTTATTGAAGAATGGGTCTAGTCAGGGTTTGTGTAAGATACAATGGGAACACATAAAGAATAGTAAAGGTATCAACTGACATCTGTAATGGAAGTCATCCCTTTTAACAAGTACTTAAAAATAATTAGGTGTAGAATATAAAAATTGTTCTTCTCCTCTCTTTTGTCCTTGGAATGCTACCTAGCTGCTTCAGCCTCTTGGGAGCATTAGGGCAGCATTGCTTAGAAACATTCTCCTTGTGACCTTCAGCAATTACCTCATGATAGAGAAAACTCTCTCTCTTCATCTTGGAAGATATCCTTATCACTTCTGTAATAATATTATATATGTTTGCTTATAGAAAAGAGTGGATGTGCTTAATTTACTTTTTTTTTTTCCTGGAATGAGAACACTGGAAAATTGTTAATTCTCAGGATATGTTCTTCAAAACTCCAACCCAAAGCATATGCAGTGTGTTTTCATATTGAATATTCTCTACTACCCCTGAAAATGTAGCCTGGACCTAAGAGAATTCTGTATCACATGTTGTACTACAGAAATAGGTCCACCTCGATGTTAGAGGACCAGTCTCTTTTACTCCCATGTCAGTCAGTCTTTGCTCGCGTGTAGACCTGGGATGGTAGCATCATACCCAAGATGAGACACATTTCATTTTCTCAAGTAGAAATTTTGAGGAGGTTGAGAGTTTGAGCTGTTAACAGCTGAGATGCTTAGCATCTATAGCTGGGCCCTGCATACACTGGACCTTGAAGAGAGATTAAATTGGACAGGACTATGTCCACTACATTCTGTATTCTCCCTGACACCATTAGAGTTCAATCCTCCTCCATCCATCCACACCAACAAAAACCTATCAACTTTTTTTACCAAGCAGACATGTATCAAAAATCAATGGAGTATTTCTTTTTAATAAATAGAAATTCATGTCTGACGATAAAATTTTCTTTAATTTGAGTCATCACTCTTCCTGATATGTGAGCAGCCTAAAGTGATGATTCGAAAAATATTTTGGAAAGGTGGTGTAATAATTGTTAGTTAAACCACAGTGGTTCAATGACCCATTGTTGTGACACACTTAGATGTCATAATATTAGAGGCACCATAATAAATTAATTATCATACAGAAAATTGAGCAGATTAAGAAAATTATAATTCAGATGGTATGAAGTAAATGTTATAGTATGCTCAGCAGTCTGTACCTCAATAAATCATAACTATGTTAATTAACTTACTTTTCTATCATCATTGCTTGAAAGTGTCACATACAGTTAATCATATGGTCTGAGAATCATTATTCTTCAATCTATTTACTCAATGCTTTCACCTGTCATCAGTTTCCTCTCTTAAAAAGGGTAATAGCAGTGCCCAAATCTTTAGATTACAATAAAGATTATTGCTTGAAATCAATACACTTTATTATTTATTATATTTGAAGGGAATACTATGCTTTCATATACATGGATGACCTAGTATATTGAAATCCCAATTTGACAGAAATTTCCCAATATGCGGAGTGTCATGGGCTAGCTTTTCCCCATATCCATACACCTGTTCATGCTCCATTCAGTGCACAATCTATGACACATGGTAGTTAACTTTATTTTCTTTATTCCACAAGCATTCTTTGCTGAGATTAACCGAATGTACTTCTGACCCTTTCTTCAGTTCTGTCAATGTGGGTCTCAAGCCACACTTATTTGTCATCTGAAATAGCTTTCTTACTACACAGCTTCTTAATGGCGTCTTTCATCTGTGCATTTCTCAAAGTATAGATTAAGGGATTTAACATGGGAGTTATTGCAATGTAGAATACAGGAACTGCCTTATCAATGGGGAAACTAACAGCAGGCCGCATATATATAAATATACAAGGCACATAGAATAATACAACTACTGTGATGTGGGAGCCACTGGTAGAGAGGGCTTTCTTCCTTGCCTCTGCTCTATGGTTCTTTAGGGAGCACAAAATAATCACATAGGAGACCAGCAAAAAGAGGAAGTTCAACACACAAAGGAACCCACTTTTGGCAGCAACGAAGTGTCCCAGCATGCAGGTATCCACACAGGCCAGATTGAGCAAAGGAATCAGATCACACATAAAGTGATCTATGACATTAGGACCACAAAAGGGTAGTCGGTATGTGAAGAGGATCTGTATGGTTGAGTGGAGAAGGCCTCCCATCCATGCCACTGCTACTAGCAGGCCAAACACCCGTGCATTCATGATAGTTGTATAGTGCAAGGGCTTGCAGATGGCCACATAGCAGTCAAAGGCCATTACAGGGAGCAGGATAATCTCACTACCACCGATGGAATGTTCCCAAAATATTTGGCTCATGCATCCTTTGAACGATATAGTCTTCTTTTCATAGAGTGAATCTGCGATAAGTTTAGGGGTATTGATAGAGCAATAGCAGGTATCAATGAAGGAGAGATGGGCCAGGAAAAAGTACATAGGGGAACCAAATAATGGGCTGCTAGCAATAGTAATCACAACAAGCAAATTTCCTACCACAGTGACGACATAGATGAGAAAAAATGCAACAAATACAATTCTCTGCATCTTTGGATTCCCTGGGAGTCCCAGTAGAACAAACTCTGTGACGTTGTTCATAATCGCCATGGGTTTCATGTGATGCTTAATTCAGACCTGAAAAGAAATTTCACATTTTCTATGATACAACATTGAATCTACCAAATTTAGCCGTTTTAATAAATATTAAGTGTCTGACTCTATTAACTGTGAATTAGTCTGAGAGTTTCTTTTTTGGAGAGAAAACAGTTTCTGTTTTTTGAAGATTATTCAAGTGATTTCACTGATTATGAATATTAATTCCTGAGACTTAGGGTACTTTGTAAACACATAGAAAGTCATGTATGTTCACCAAATCTGCTTAAATGACTGAAAGTCTTTCTTGAACTAGAATGTACACACATACTAGCAGCTACAATGGAGAGACATATAGGACAAGGATGTAGAGAATAAAAGCAAAACAAAGGGATTTCCCCTCCTCCTTAGGAAATGGGAAATAAAAGGAAGGTAATTGAAAATATGAGGAAAGTATAAAGCAAAAATTGAAGAAGGGGGAGTCTTGGCTATAACTCTGTAAGATCTTTGCATGTCTTAGGTGAAGTAGGCTGAAGTTCAGTAAGGAGTAGAAGACAGACATAGGAAGCCTAGTAGGAGATTATTCAAGAGTTAGCATGCAATGTAGTAGGACACTGCGATGGGAATGTGCAGAAAGTACACAGGAGTTTCTATGAAAACATGCAAAGTTCTTCTTGTATAAATGCAAGAACTTTACAATAACTAGTAATTATTCTCTTAATGATTAATTGCTATGTTTAAAGTAGAAAGCTTTATACACATATTGATTCTTCCAACACTGATCCAACCTATGTTGTTGGTATTATTAAATCTCCTTTGTAGAAAAGAAATGAGTCTCGGAGTTTTAGGTGGATAATATTAACAGCAATGATAATATTAAATCAATACATATATTTGATTTTTCTAAGTGGATTTTTAGACATTTCCTATTTTAGTACTCACTACAAATTTAGGATATGATTTCCATCACTTTTTTTTACTTATTTTACACATTATGAGATAAAAGCATAGAAAAGTTAAGAATCCTGTCCAAGATCAAGCTAGTTAAGGACAGATTCAAGGTTCAGTCAGATTATACGTATATAGTTTACCTCCAAATGCATTCTCATACACTACTTTGTTATTATTGTCCAATGTTAAACTTGTAATCTCTTTTTAATATGATAAGAAATATTATCATTATTTTATTACAACTTCAGATGCAAGAGGGTATGAAGAAATTTTATGAGCAAACACACGTACAATGGCATGTTTGAAATCCCATATATCAAGTACAACAATGTATAATATTTAATGAAAAGTATTTATTTCTTTTCCAAACCCAGCTCTCCAAAGTGAATTCTCGTCCAAACCATGAGTTGAAAATCTTCTGTAAAAAGTTGAGAATGAATACCATTGTGGTTAAGAGTATTATAAAAGCAAACATCTAGGATAGATTTCTGGTCCTTCCTCTTGCAACTTCTTTTATGGAGGTACATTGTTGACACCGACCTATTTATTTCCTTATCTAAAGTAGGAATTCTAATAAAGCTACATAAGTTTTATGGAATTTAGTTATGGGAATGTTTGTGAACATATCCACCACACTGCTCTAGACACACACAAGACTGTCATCATTTTTGTGTATGCTCTTAGGAGATGGGAAGAATTGGCATTTTGATCAATAATACACAGAGAACTTTCACTCTAAAGAGCTTATGAGGCCTCACCTTCAATTTTTCTTAAAGATTCCATGGACATTCATATTATCCACAGCAATTGATCCAAGAAAGGAAACTCTTTTTTGTTTTCTGTATACAGCTGACAGTTGATGTCAGTGTAGTATTCATACTTACAACTTCCTATGTATAATTGTATTTAATACATTTTTCATTCTCTTGTTGTACCTTGATTGTTAAAGGGGATGTCTCCTTGCAAAAGCACATTGTTTGATGTTAGAGGGTGACAACCTATAATTAATCTCAAGAAGTCTTTGGTTTTTCATGTCAGATGAGGTTGATGTTACCGATTTTTGGAAGAATGGGAGAGGTTGAAATGCATTATTACCGTATTTGAGAAATCTGGAAACATGATACTGCTCACATATGAGAAAAAACAATCTTTAATAAGCATGAGCACTTTTGAATACTTACCTTACAGTCCTAGCTTCCCTCAATGATGATTGGGGATGTTCAGAATAATGCCATCTTCAAACTGACATCGTCTTGGAATAAATAACCTTCAATATGAAAGATGTGACTCTCAAAAAGAGAATATTTAGTTGAGACATTATACAATAAATGCTTGCTACACTTGTTTTTATAAGTCTCAGTCCTTTCCTCATTCATAGAATCTTAATGTTTCATAGAACACCTGGCATATGCATTTAGAAGGTATTCATTTGAAACACAATAGAAAGATGATCTTCTACAGGTGACTCTGTTCCCACAGTGAAAAGCAGAAAGTGTGGAGGAAATACTCACATGTGTCACATTGCCCATGATTAGTTCTTTCTGGAGGTATGATCAGCAAAGCTTATTTATGCTTTGGCTGTTTCCTCCAGCATATTTTAGAGTTTCTTGTGATTCTTGAAAGAGGGATTTTAATGTATTCGTATTCTATTACACCAGACAATCTAGAGAATGGAGATTATGCTTCTCAAACAAGCATTTATTAAAGAATGGGTCTAGTCAGGGTATGTGTAATGTGCAATGGAAAATTATCTACTGAATATATTTACTGAAATCTGTTCATAGAATTAATCCAGTGACCAAGGACTTAAAAACAATTAGGTGTAGAATATCCAAACTGTTCTTGTCCTCTCTTTTTTCCTTGGAATGCTGCTCAGCTACTTCAGCCTCTTGGGAACATTAGGGCAGCATTGCTTAGAAACATTCTCTTGGTGACCTTCAGTGATTACCTCATGATAAAGATATTTCTTTCTTCATCTTGGAAGATATCCTTATCACTTCTGTAATAATATTACATATTTTTGCTTATAGAAATCAAGCAGATGTGTCTATTTATTTATTTACCTGGAATGAGAACACTGTGTTTTCAGATTGAATATTCTCTACTACCCCTGAAAATGTAATAAAGTTATTTATCTCATTGCTCTACTAACTCTGATAATAAAACACATTCATAACTACACTTACTGGGATTGTCTGTCTATTGTATGCAATAAAAAACATTAAAAACGTTATTTTCTGAGTTAAAAAGATAAAATTGACTAATTCTAAATAACTTCTGATTAGCTAGATAGAATAGTTATACAACTGGAGAAGTTGTTTTGAATCACACACTTTAAAATGTTGGAAAGTGAGTCCCATATAATTAGTATTTTAAAACAATGTTTTTTTTTTTTATTTTCATGAATCAGCTTTTTAGAGATGCAGTGAGAGGATTCACACTTTTCATATCCTCCTAATATTGGCTCAAAGTTATTTGTGGTCTGTGGATGACATATGTCCACTGTTCCCCAATTTCCCATTTTATCAGGTTTTGGTACACAAAATGAGTTGTACTGATCAGGAGACAAAACTGCATATTCCTAATAACAATTTTTACTTCAACATTTCAAAAAAATTAGTTAAATGGGCTAAAATTGCAAATCAACAATAGTTCATATAGAACAAGTTAGTGTAAGGATAGTAACAGAATAATACTAAATAGAAAACAGACAGGAAAAACTGGGGAATAGATGAGGATGACTCTATATTTAGTGTTTTATTTCAGGGGCCACCTTGAGAAGTTGTTTTCAGTAAACACTGCCCTTAAACACCCACCGCTCCCTGATTGAGTTACACTAGACCGCTGTATTTGGGAGAATATCTATCTGTACTTTACTTGTCCGTGGTGCTTGTCATTCTCTATTGAATATTAACAGGTGGTTTGTGAAGATTTTTATTTTTCAAAATCTCAAATAATAACAAAATACAGGATACCCTCCTTGATTTCCTCACTGTGGAATGAATCATGTATATTTTCTATATCTGGTTGTACTAAGATTTCAGGCAAGTAATATTAATTCATTTCTCTTTGCAAATCTTATTAGACAGAAAGCAAGTGTAAGGGAAAATAATATGATTTGTGGAAGGAGGTTGGAAAGAATTGAGTATTCATAGAAGGGAAGATAATATTCCAAGATATTTCTACTATTGTCCCACTGACATGGCATATTGTCATTGATATCAATCGTAACACAGGGTAATAAGAAAGATCCTAAGGGATCTTCTGTATTCCAGGCATATTTTTCCTTACCTCCATTGTAAAGTACAGTCCAATTTCCCCTCAGTATCAGGGTCAATCATTCAAGTCAACACAGTAACTTCTTTCTTTGCCTATTGATCCAATGGCTTGAGGACACTGAAGTGATTGGGTGGTATGGTCTTAACATCTATTGAATATAACTTTGTTTTGTCTCCCTGTAGAAGCATCCTCCCTTTGGAACTAAGGCCTCTAGTTCAGGAAGTCATAAGTTTGTGAGAATAGAAAGCAAATATTTTGCTAGTGGGACCTGTAGGGTCACAGAACATGGTGCTATCTTTACCACTACTTGACAGCATCATGGGTCCTGACTATGGCAAAGCTGTTTGCAGAGTGTCTATGCCATCAGGACAAAATGCTGCTCCTCTATGATGGAATAATCACCTGCCATGTGTCTTCTTTGTATTGCATTTTCTCAGTTTCCTCTACACCCAGTGATCCATCAAAATCTGCATTTTATTCATAACTCTAATTTCCCTAATCTTTATCCTACATTAAGTTCTGTTCTTATAACTCTTAAATGGTTTTTATACCTTTCTATATTTCTCCATATCATTATTGGTTGCCTAGGTACAGACCATGGGGTGAGAATTTTCATCAAAGTTCTTTACAATGAGAAGGGATTTAGGGACTCTGACTATGGTGGGGCAAATGTGGTCCCAAATAACAACTGGATTTAGCCTGGAACTGAGAGATCTGTAATACAGAGCTGGGTCCACCTGGATGTTAGAGGACCAGTCTCTTTCCCCCCATGTCAGTCAGTCTTTGCTTGCTGGTAGATCTGGGATGGTAGCATCATACCAAGATAAGACACCTTTCATTTTCTCAGGTAGAAATGTCAAGAGGAGGTTGAGAGTTTGAGTTGTTAATAGCTGAGATGATTAACATCTACATCTGGGCCCTGTATGCACTGGACCTTGAAGAGAGATTAAATTGCATAGGACTATGTCCACTACATTCTCTGTTCTCACTGACACCATTAGAGTTCAATCCTCCTCCATCCATCCACACCAACAAAAACCTATCACCGTTTTTTTACCAAGCAGACATGTATCAAAAATCAATGGAGTATTACTTTTTAATAAATAGAAATTCATGTCTGACCACAAAATTTTCTTTAATTTGAGTTATCACTCTTTCTAATAGGTGAGAAGCCTAAGGTGATGATGTGAACAATAACAAAAGTTCCAAAACTACAAGAAATTTGGAAAGGTGGTATTATATATTGTTAGTTAAACCACAGTGCTTCAATGACACATTGTTAAGACACTCTTAGATGTCATAATATTAGAGGCAACATAATAAATTAATTATCATACAGAAAATTGAGCAGATTAAGAATATTATAATTCAGAGAGAAATGAAGTAAATATTATAATATGTTCAGCATCTGTGCCTCAATAAATCATAACTATTTTAATTAACTTACTTTACTATCATCATTGCTTGAAAGTGTCACACACAGTTGACCATATGGTCTGAGAAGTCGTTATTCTTCAATCTCTCTACTTGATGTTTTCACCTGTCATCAGTTTCCTCTCTTAAATGGGGTAATAGCAGTGCCTAAATCTTTAGATTACAATACAGATTATTGCTTGAAATCAACACATTTCATTATTATATTTGAAGGGAAAACTATGCTTTCATATACATGGAGGAGGTAATATAATGAAATTCCAATTTGACAGATTTTTCCCAATATGCAAAGAGTGGCATGGCTACCTTTTCCCCATTTCCATGCACCTGTTTATGACACATGGCAGTTAACTTAATTTTCTTTATTTCACAAGCATTCTTTGCTGAGATTAACCAAATGTCCTTGTGATCCTTTCTCCAGTTGCATCAATGTAGGCCCTTAAGCCACGCTTATTTGTCATCTGAAATAGCTTTCTTACTACACAGTTTCTTAATGGCTTCTTTCATCTGTGCATTTCTCAAGGTGTAGATTAAGGGATTTAACATGGGAGTTATTGCAGTATAGAATACAGTAACTGCCTTATCAATGGGTAAAATAACAGCAGGTCTCATATATATAAATATGCAAGGCACAAAGAATAAGACAACTACTGTGATGTGGGAGACACAGGTGGAGAGGGCTTTGCGCCTTGCCTCCATGGTGTGGTTCTTCAGGGAACGTAGAATACTCACATAGGAGATCATCAAGAGGAGGAAGTTTAGCAGGCAGATGAAGCCACTGTTGGCAGAAACAAAGAGTCCTAGAGTATGGGTATCAGTGCAGGCCAGATTGAGCAAAGGACTTAGATCACAGGAAAAATGATTGATGATATTAGGACCACAGAAGGGCAGTCTGAAGATGAAGAAAATCTGTATGGTTGAGTGAAGAAGGCCTCCCATCCACACCACTCCCACTAGGAGGCCACACACCCGTGCGTTCATGATAGTTGTATAGTGTAAGGGCTTGCAGATGGCCACATAGCGGTCAAAGGCCATTACAGTGAGCAGGATAATCTCACTACCACCGATGAAATGTTCCCAAAATATTTGGCTCATGCATCCTTTGAATGATATGGTCTTCTTTTCATAGAGTGCATCTGTGAAAAGTTTAGGGGTATTGATAGAGCAATAGCAGGAATCAATGAAGGAGAGATGGGCCAGGAAAAAGTACATAGGGGACCCAAATAATGGGCTGCTAACAATAGTAATCACAACAAGCAAATTCCCTACCACAGTGAAGATGTAGATGAGAAAAAACACAACAAATACAATTTTCTGCATCTTTGGATTCCCTGTGAGTCCCAGTAGAACAAACTCTGTCACGTTGCTCATAATATCCATGTATTTCATATAATGCTTAATTCAGACCTGGAAAAAAAATCACTTTTTTATTTATACAACCAAAAATTTATCAAATTTAGCCATTCTAGTAAATACTAAATGCTTCAGGTTTTATTGAATTGTGAATTCCTCTGAGGGCTTTATTTTTTGCTAAAAAACTGTTTTTGGTTCTTGAAGAATAATCAAGTGACCTCCTGATAAAGATTCTGTCACAGCCGTATACTTGAGTTTTTTGAACACATATATAAGGAAGCCATGTATGTTTACCAAATCAGCTCAAATGACTGAAAGTATCGAATTAGAATGTACAGACATACTGGCAGCTAAGGTGGAGAGAAGAGGTAGAACAATGATGTAGAGACAGAGAGTGCAAAACAAAGATATTTCCCTTTATTGTTAGGAAATGGGGAATCATGGAAGGTAATTGAGAATAGGAGTAAAGGATAAAGCAAAACCAAGGAAGGAGAGTCTTGGCTATTACTCTATATGATCTTTGTGTGTTTTGGATCAAGTAGGCTGAAGTTCAGCAAGGAGTAGAAGATAGACATAGGAAGCATAGTAGGAGATTTCAAAGAGTTATCACGCTATATAATAGGACACTGGTGAAAGTACACAGGAGTTGCTTTGGAAACATTCAAAATGCTTATTGTATAAACCGAAGAATTTTATAATCGTTAATAATTATTCTTTTAACAATTAATTGCTCTGTTCAAACTAGCAAGCTTTATGCACCTGTTGATCCATTTAATACTGATTGAACCTATGTTGTTATTATTTTACTTTGCAGGAAAGAAGTCTCAAAAATTTATGTTGAGAATAGTAAATCAATATAAATAATAGTTGTGCTTTTTTTAGATATTTATTGATTTAATCACCACTACAAGTATATGATATGATTTCCATCATCCTGTTTTACTTACTTTGCACAATATAAAATAAAATAATAGGGCCTCCCTGGTGGCGCAGGGGGTTGAGTGCAGCAATGTGAAGCTATCCACAGCCTCTGCAGTATGGGTTCAATCCCTGGCCAGCCAGGGAAATACCCACATGGGAAGGCAGACCTCTCCTGTCTCACCTACTGCTCCCCTCACCAGTGTTTTCAGTCCATTTGCCTGTTTTGCCCCCACTCTGTCTCTGGTGAATCCTCTCACCCTCCCATACCTCTAGCCTGTACCCAGTTCTTATATGCATAAATAAATAAATCTTTAAAAAATAAATAAAAGAATAGAGAGGTTATGAAAATGTCTAAGATCAAGCTAATTAAGCACAGAGTCAATATTAGGTCAGATTATATTTAGCTTTTTTATCTCTAGATTCTTTCCTATGCCATTACTGTTATAATTAACAATGTTGAACTACTAAGCAACATTTAATAGGACTATAATGATTTTAATGAATAGTATTACTTCACATGCAAGTGATATAAGACAATTTCATCAGCACACACACACACACACACACACACACAGAGATATGCTTCAATTCCCATACATCAACTAGAATACTATATAAAATTTACTGAGGTTTGTTCCCTCAAACCCAGTTTTCCATATGTAAATCTTCAAAAATATGAATCGCAAAACTCTTTCATAAAATTTTGAAATGAGTTCCATAGTGGATAAGGGGGGATTGCAATTGTATGGGGAATATAAAAATAAAATTTATTAATTAAAAAAAAAATGTCAATACTAGATTTCTGGTCCTTCCACTTGCAACTTCTCTAATGTGGGTATGTTGCTGACAATCTACCTATTTGTTTCTTCATATATAGGTCAGGAATACTAATAAAGACATATAAGCTTTATGGAAATTAGTTATGGAAATGAATATGAGCATACCCTCTACCCTCCTGTGGACACACATAGGACTTTCATTATTTTTGTGAATGTACTTAGGAGACGGGAAGAATTGGAATTTTGATCAATAATACAGAGAGACATTTCACTAAGCAAGGAGTTCTTGAGGCATCATTTCCAATTTTGCATTAAAGAATCATATTATCCACAGCAATTAATTCAAGGAAGAGAACTCTGTTTGTGCTTTCACTAAACAGCTGAAAGCTGATGTCAGTATTCATACTTACATCTTTCTATGTGTAATCGTATTTAATTTGTGTTCCATTCTCATGATGAAACTTGATTGTTAAAAGAGATGTCCCCTTTGTGTCTGGTGTTGGAGAGCTGCGTACTATAATTAATCTCTAGGAGTCTTAGATTTTTCAACTGCCAGGTGACTTTGATGCTATTTACCTATCTTTGGAAGAAAGGGGTGAGGTTGAATGTGCAAATACCATG